CTACGTGTGACCGTTAATTTGTTCACGCGCTTTCTTAAGTAGTTTGTGAAGAGAAGGGCTTTTTGGTACGAAATAGGGGTTGGCCAACGTTTTTTGTAATGAGCCAAGTAGTAACTATTTCTGGCTTTGTGGCCAGGCTTGTTAGTTCTGCCCCGTGGCAGCATGTAAACCAACGGTGTGGTCGTGTTCCCATACAATTTCACTTACATCCCTCCTCCCCCCTGGCTGGATTGGGCTCATGGGCCACAAGGTGACAGGTCCAGAACGCAGGCTGGGCTCATTGACACTGAATTGGGTCATTACTACGAAGGGAAAACTGGGTTAAGGATTTAAAGATCAAGATTTCTCAGGGTGACGGCCGGTGTGGCTCAGTGGTTGAGCGAAGACCAGTGAACCAGCAGGTCACGGTTCGATTCCCAGTCAAGGCACATGCCTGGGTTGTGGGCTGGATCCCTAGTGTGCGGCGGGCAGGAGGCAGCCGATCCATGATTCTCTCTCATCATTGATGTTTCTCTCTCTCTCTCCCTCTCCCTTCCTCTCTAAAACCAATAAAATATATGTGTTGGGCACTGAGTCGTGACTATGTTAAAATACACAGCCCGGTATAATCATCTAATTTGGGCTATAATCAAAGAAACCAGGCACTGTGAGGCCACAAACATGGGGAGCAGTTGGGACCTGCGTGCGCTGATGTGCCGTGGAAAATGCCGCAGCTGCTTTAGACAGCAATCTGGCAGGCCCTGCCTAGGTAGCTCAGGTGAACCCGATACACCAAGGTTGCGGGTTCGAACCCCGGTCAGGGCACATACAAGAATCAACTAATGAATGTATAAACAAGTGGAACAAGTTGATGTTCCTCTTTCTCTCAAATCAATCAATACAATAGATAGATAGATAGATAGATAGATAGATAAAAGAAAGCAGTCTGGCAGTCCCTCAAATGCTCACCGTAATTTCCATAGAGCCCAGCACTTCCACTCCTAGCTGTGTACCGAAGGGAAGGGAAGACACATATACAGAAGCTTGGACACGGTGTTCCTAGCAGCATACAGCCCACATAAAAAAAAACAGCTTGCCTGGTCTGTGTGGCCCAGCTGGTTGACCATTGTCCCGTGTACCAGGAGGTCACGGTCTTCAATTCTCGGTCAAGGGCATGTACCTGGGTTTCAGGTTCAATCCCTGGCCCAGGTTGGGGCACCTGCAGGAGGCAGCAATTGATGTGAGAATCAATGTTTCTCTCTCCCTCTCCTTCTCCCTCCCCCCTCCCTCTCTCCCTCCCTCCCACTCACTTTCTCTAAAAATCAATGGAAAATTACCCTCAGGTGAGGATTAACAACAACAAAAAAGATGAGTCACTGTTCTTGGTTGTGTGTGTTCCTGAGCGTTCCACACCCGCATCCAGCAGAGGTGGCCCGCATGGAAGCAGGGCGGCCTCAGGGCCCAGATGGCCTCTTTCCCCCCTCGGTAGTGTGGAGGCCGGTCCTCGGGCCTGCGGGTGGGCAGCCCAGGTCACGGCTGTGCTCCTGGCCGCATTCTGGGCACTGGTTTGCTCATGCGGGAGGCTCACTGGACGGCTTCTTCGTTGCAGGTTGAAGAAGGAAGCAAAGCTGCAGCGGTGGACAAGTTACTGGCGGGAGACGAGATCGTGGGCATCAATGACATCGGCCTCTCGGGCTTCAGACAGGAAGCGATTTGCCTGGTGAAGGGGTCCCATAAGACCCTGAAGCTGGTGGTAAAAAGGTAAGACCCGGGCCTCATGTTGTGTTAACCAAGATACACAGAATGGAGTAGAACAGCAAGATGTGACGCCTGACTTAAATTGTGTATGTGTGCGCGCGTGCATGTGTGTGTGCGTGTGTGTGTGCGCGCACGCACGTGTGCATATAGGATTGTTATCTCTTGGCCAAGGATGAATTAAGCATCACAAATGTTGAAAGATCCCTTTTATGACTACTGACTGTTTATTTTGATTTATTAAGTGAATTTGAATAGTCGTGTCTCTTTGGCAATGTGTAGATTATTTTTTTGGCAGCGAAAAAACTCTGCTTTTGTTCCAAATGAGCAGTGTGGTTGCCTGCTGCTTACACAAGGCGGCAGGCTGCTGGGCTTTGCGCTGAAGATAGTGTGGCTGCAGGTAGACTTAGCGGAGCGATGGTGATGATGGTAACGGAAGCTTGACCCTCCGAGGTAAGACTGGTTAGAAACCATCTCTGGGCTCATTGCCCAGCTCCAGTGTGACTGGGGGCCCCTCCGCTTCTCTCTCCCATATTGTCTCTGTGGCAGGGCTGCCAGAGCCCCCTACACACCAAGCTAGCTCGTTGGCTTACTGCGGGGACCTGCCAGCTTGGTGCAGGCGAATTCTGGGCTGCTTCCGATAGTGCTCGGTGCACAAGGGCACACGCAGGACTTGGGCTGATGGAGTGAAATTGCTTTGAACTGCACCTGGGTGTGTGTCGCTGGGGGATCTGATGGGGACACTGCCTCCAGGGTGCTCATTCATAAAACCTGTGAGTGTGACCCTGGCCAGCCCACAGGCAGCAGCAAATCAAATGCACACTCGTTGGGGGACAAAATCAGGAGGCAAGAATATTGTCGCCACGGCATCTAACAAGGTAAAACAAAATATCGGTCAATGTCAGGTCGTATTCCAGGGTTCAAAAAACAGATGTACAATAGCAAAGTTGGTTTAGAAGAAGCAGAGGCAAAGAATGGAATTCTCGCTCCCCAGTGGAAAGTTGGATGAAAGCACAAATTGGAGGTTCCTCAAGTGAGAAGCGTACATAGGAAGCAGGCGTGTCAAAAGATGGTTAGGGATCCAATTTTACTTAAAAGCCGGACACTAGGTTTTGTCTCTCAGGTTATCTAATAGAATAGCAGGGCCCCCTGGTGGTGAGATGTGGGCAAACAAGGACTTGTTTGATAGGATGCTGATTAGATTACAAATTAGACAACTTTCTTGGTGAGCAGCTTGGCAACACATTTCAAAAAGCATATCTTGGAACCAGAATTTCATTTCTGGGGTCCTAGACATTCAGCAAAGGGAAATGACCCCTGCTGGTGTGCCCTGGAAGTCCAGGTGAGTGGAACACATACGTGTATTTATAGATACTTCCCATTTTTAAAAAAAGTTTTAAATTTCTAATTGTGGTAAAATAGACATAAATTTACCATCTTAACAATTTTTAAATCTGTTCAGCAGCATATTACTTCTATTTTTAAAAAATATTTTAAATTGAGTTTTAGAGAGAGAAGAAGGGGGAGAGAGAGAGAAACATGGATCGCTGCCTCCTGCATGCCCCCTACTGGGGATCGAACCCAAAATGGAATCCGCAACCTTTCGGTGCATGGGACAATGCCTAACCAAGTGAGCCACACCGGCCAGGGCGTATTACTTTTATAACAGCAAAAAATACTGAGACCCTGCATTTAAACAATTGTTTTATTTTTTAAAATTTTTTATGTTTTATTGATTTTAGAGGATGATGGTGGGGGGAGAGAGAGAGAGACAGAAACATCGATGTGAGAGAGATGGAACCAGCAACCTGGGTATGTACGGGTTGATGCTCGAACTAACTGAGCCATGCCTGCCAGGGCGCAGCCCCTGCATTTTTAAAGAGGAGAGGCTTGCCGGGCCAGCGTTGGCTCAGTGGTTGAGTATCCACTTAGGAACCAGGAGGTCACGGTTCAATTCCTGGTCAGCGCACATGCCCAGGTTAGGGACTTGATCCCCAATAGGGGGCATGCAGGAGGCAGTCGATCAATGATTCTCTCTCATCATTGATATTTCTCTCTCTCTCTCTCCCTCTCCCTTCTTCTCTGAAATCAATAAAAATATATTTTAAAAAGAATGTTAAAAAAAGAAAGAAAGCGGAGAGGCCTTTGGGGTTGGGTGTGCCTGCGCTCCCAGGAGTCAGCAGGAGGCTGTCCCAGCAGCTGCCCATGTGGCATCTTTCTGTTTGGGGCAGTCCCCAGCCGGGTTTGTTTATTGCGAACAAACAAGAAGAATGACTTTTGGGGGGTGGATTGGCCTCCCGGCTACAATGGGCTCTTAGAGTAGCTCTTTACTCCTTGTAGTTTGTTTGGTTCTCTGTGAATGTGACAGGTGACAAATGGTTTTATTGTTTAAGTGGGCATTTCTGCCACTGTGAGTGAGGTCGGCCGAGTTCCAGAGCTTAGCAGCTTGTTTTTGAACTAGAGGAACATATTAAGGATATAAAAACAGACCATCAAAAAAAAAAATAAAAACAGACCATCTCGCCTGGCCAGCGCGGCTGTTGGTTGAGCGTTGTCGTGCGCACCAAAAGGCGGCTGGTTCGATTCCTGGTCAAGGGCGCGTACTCCCTACTTCCACTCTCTGAAAAGCAACCGGAGAAAATATCCTCTTGTGAGGATTAACAAAAAAGAACAAGCGGCTACTTTATTAAAAGGCGCTGTGTCAATCATCTACAAACACGGCAACATAGATTCCCTTCCCCAAGAGTATGGCCAGATAATAAATGAGCCGACTCAAGCCTTGTTTATGAATCTGATGTAGCTACCTGCCCACCTGAGGAGCCCCGAGAAGGCGGCCTTTCTGATACAGACGGAAATCAGGTTAGGGTGCTGAGCGCTGAGCATGGCCAGGCCGGGAGTGTTTGTTCTGGGGAATGGGGTGTGTGCACCTCCATATAAAACATACCCCTGGTGCCCAACCCGCGGGGCTCAGTGGTTGAGCGTCTGCCTATGAACCAGGAGGTTATGGTTCAATTCCCGTCAAGGGCACATGCCCGGGTTGTGGGCTCGATCCCCAGTAGGGGGCGTGCAGGAGGCAGCTGATCCATGATGCTCTCTCATCATTGATATTTCTCTCTCCCTTCCTCTCTGAAATCAATAAAAAATATATTAAGAAAATAAATAGAAAACAAAACATGCCCCTGGTTTGGTAAGTAGAACGGGAATGGTGGATCGTGCACGGACCCCTCCCGCGGGGACAGCTGCTGTGTGCCCGACCTGCAGGTTGTTTGATTTCAGGGGGCGTGGGGAGCGGGCACCGGCCCCAGGATAGGGTTGCGGAGGTCGGTGTTGCAAAGCCGTGGCGTCCTGTTTCACGGGCCTGGGCAGCGCGTATCTTGTCATCATGTAGAAGCCGGGCTGGGGGCGAAGTGAGGAGACACAGGATCGCTCTCTGCCCCGACAAGTGTCTTTCCCAGACGGGTGAGAACGGCGCTTCCTTTCTCCCGAGCGGTGTCGCTGGGAACAAATGACTGTAACCGGAGTCCCCGCCAAGCGCACATATGTTCTCCTTCGGGATGCCCAGGCGGTGCCCGGGCCAGTGGGGTGTGGCGGGGCTTCTGCCCAGCTGTCAATCAATCGCCAGGCCCGCGGGAGAGGCTGAGCAGCAAGCTTGCGCCTTGCCCTTTCTCCAGGCACGTGCTGTTCCCTCTGCTCCTCCTCGCAGGAACGTTCCGGGCGGATGTGGTAACCTTTTCCTTGTGTTTCTCTCGGGTTGTCACCTGCACTTGCACTGTTTTTCTGGGTGTCCAGGCCACACCCCGGAGATCCTGGTGGACACTTCTGGATCGGCCCCAGGCCATTTTGCTGGTGGTGCCGCCGCTGGCGTAAGCAGATGTGCTTGGAAAGGGGTAGGACCAGAAACGGGGTCACCTGCGAGTTGTCCTGATGAGCATGGCCAGGAGATAAGCCCCTCGCGGGGGCGGGAGCGGCTCGCGGCAGCTAGGGCTGTCACTGTGCCCTGCGTGGACAGCGCTGGGGCAGTCTCCATTTTTCTCACTTCAGAGGCAAATTACCATAAATTCAGCTCCCAAAAAGTACATATACTTTTATTTTTTATTTTATTTTATTTTTAATCCTCACCCGAGGATATTTTTCCATTACCTTTTAGAAAGAGTGGAAGAGAGAGGGAGAGACAGAGAGAAATATCGATGTAAAGAGAAACACATCGATTGGTTGCCTCCTGCACACCCTGAACAGGACCCTGGCTGGGGAGGAGCTTGCAACCGAGGTACATGCCCTTGACTGGAATCGAACCCAGGACCCTTTGGTCCACAGACCGATGCTCTAAACACTGAGCCAAACTGGCTAGGGCTCAAAAAGTACATACAATTTTAAACACCTTGGAAAATTTTCTTTTAAATATGCCATAAGTCATTTTCTAAAGCTTGTCATTACTGTCCTAGTCCTTCCGGTTGATATGGTGACATTCGTTTTGTTTACAACGAAGGCTGCCTGCCACCTCATCATGAATCTTACTCTTGTTCCAGCCGGTGTAGCCAGCCCTTTGGCCAAATTACCCATAGGGTTGACTCATGTCACTTCCTGCCTCTGCTGGCAGCCTTAAACCGCTTTGTGACTCTGATTGTGTCCGCTAAGCCCGCATTCGGCAGGGGATTAGCACCCCGGGAGGAGGACCTTAGCCGCAGCTGTGGGGTCAGCCAGGCTGGCTGGCAGGTGATGCATTTGAAGAAAGGAGGCTTCCCATCCAGGGACAGCCCCTGGCCTTGCTGGGAGCACGTTTCTTACAACACGCCTTGGTCTCGGTGTCGCTGCCTGGCAGTGAATTCCGCACGAGGCAGCATTGTGCCTGCTCCCTGCCCCGGCTCCCTGGCGCTGTCTGAGCAGGTAGCTCTGCGTGGGGCCCACCGTGGGTGTTCCGGAAGCAGCTCCCTGCACCGATGCGGCTGGAGGACCGGGATCGCTAGGATGTCCGCAGGTTGTGTCCCCTCCCCACCGTCCCCTTTCGA